ATTAATGGTGGAAATAATGGACTCCTGATTGCAATCTATGCCCCAAATGACAATCAAGTTGAATTCTACAAAAAATACACATGAAAATATTTGAACTGGACTATGTTAATATAGTTATGATGGGAGATTTTAATGGAATTGTAGACAATAAACTGGACCATACAGCACAGACAACAATAAAACAAAATAGACTCTCCTAAATCCTTTTTTAAAATGGTAAATGAAATAAATTTAAAAGATACATGGAGAGAAAGAAATGCTAAAACTAAACAATACACCTTCTACTCAAATAGACACTTATCATGGTCCAGAATAGATATGATATGGATGTCAACAGAATTGTTAACTAATATTTAAGAATAAATATTGAAACAAGTACTTGGGCAGATCACAATCCAATGACAATTAAATGGAAAGGACAAAGAAGAAGATCTAGATGAACGTTAAATAATACTATTTTAAAGGAAAAAGTCTTCACACAGTGGATGGAGAAAGAATTGGCCCTTTTCTTTGGAGAAAACAAAAAAGAAGATACATCAATCCAGAATGTATGGGATACAATGAAGGCATATGCCAGAGGCTTGATAACAGACTATACAAGGAAAAGGAATACCATGAAAAGATTAGCCTCTAAGGCATTAGAAGATGAGTATAAAGGACTTGAAAAAGAGCTACAGAAAATGCCACAGAAAAAGGACATTAAGTTAAAAATGGATATAACCAAACATAAAATGGGTCTAATAGAAAAAGAAGAATTAGCACAAAAAATTAGAGGTGCTAAACAGAACTATTTTGAAGATGCAAATAAACCAGGTAGATGGTTAGCATATAAATTGAGAAAGGAGAAAGAATCAAGGAAAATATTGCAATTAATAGATGACCAAGGCCAAGTTTGCTATGGTAGTAAAGAGAAGAAGGAAATCATTCGAGACTATTATGGGAAACTATACACACAAGAGAATATTGATGAGGAAAGAGTTAAACAGTATTTAAAGAATGCTAATTTACCCCAGATACCTAAAGAGATTGAAACAATTTAGAAAGCAATATAACGATGATGGAGTTAACTGAAGCACTTAAGAAGCAAAATAATGGAAAGGCACCAGGCCCAGATGGACTTCCGACAGAATTTTACAAAACATTACAAGAATCATTGAACTTTCCATTGTTAGAAGTAATGAATGAAGTTATGTTAAAGAAGAAGATACCTAAATCATGGTCAGAAGCTTATATTACATTTGTTCCAAAAGAGGAGACTGATCCATTACAAATTAAGAACTATAGACCTATTTCCCTACTAAACGCAGATTATAAAATCTTTGCTTCAATATTGGCAGAAAGACTTAAAAAATATTTAAATAATTATATCCATCCTGATCAAAATGGATTTCTGCCAAAGAGACAAATTAAAGACAATATGAGAGTAATCTTGGACACTTTGGAATACTACGAGGCACATTCTGAAAAACAAATGACTCTGATATTTCTAGATGCACAGAAGGCATTTGACAATGTGAATTGGCGATTCATGTTATTACTGCTGGAACAGATGGGCTTTGCTAGAACATTTATTCAAGCAATAGAACCTATATATCATAAACAGACAGCAAAGGTAATGATAGAGGAAGAACTGACAGAATCTATTGATATAAGAAAAGGAACAAGACAAGGGTGCCCACTATCACCTCTGCTGTTTGTGTTAACTTTGGAAGTCCTAAACAGAAATATTAGAGATGAAAAGAATATAAAAGGGATGAATATTAAAAAGGAAGAATTTAAGTTGCAAGCATTTGCAGATGATCTGGTTTTTATCTTAGAAGACCCACTAGATACAGCATCAAAACTGATAGAAAAGATAGAGACATATGGAAAGGTGGCTGGTTTGAAAATAAATAAAGACAACACAAAGATCTTGACAAAGAATATGCTATCAAGACAAAAGGAAGAATTGGCAGACCTATTGAAAATTCAGGTCATGAATAAGATCAAGTCCTTGGGGATATACTTGACAGCAAGATGCAGTACACTAAAAGAGAATAATTATATTAAACTTAAACAGCTGATAGCGCTAGATTTGGCGAAATGGGAAAATTTACAACTGTCATTAATAGGGAGAATATCAACAATCAAGATGAATATATTACCCAGAATTTTATATTTGTTTCAAACAATTCCAATTAGGCTTGGAAAAGACTACTTTGAAGATTTAAATAAAATTGTGTTGAAATATATATGGCAAGGTAAGAAAGCGAGAATAAAGTTAAAACTTTTGCAAGATGCTAGAATAAGAGGAGGATTTGGTTTGCCTAATTGGGAGTTGTATTACCAAGCTACAAATTTGATGTGGGTTAAGGAATGGATAACATTAAGAAATACTAGATTGTTGACATTAGAAGGACATGATCTGTTGTTGGGGTGGCATGCTTTTTTATGGTATAAAGGAATTAAAACACGGGGGTACTTTAGAAGACATTATATACAGGAGTTTCTGTGGCTAAATTGGGAGAAGATTAAAAGACAATGTTATTTGAAAATTCCAGTCTGGCTATCGACTATTGAAGCATTTTCTTATCCTATAATATACAAAAGGGAACAAACAGTTAGATATGGTGAAATATTGAATGAAAAGGGTGAACTTAAATCTATACAAAAACTAGAGGAACAAGGTATAAAGATGAATTGCTTTTCATATGCGCAAATACATTCAAGGTATGATAAAGATTCTAAAACGGAAGGTTTCTATGATAAACTGACTGACTTAGATAAGATTTTGACAGGTACTGATGAAAAGGTGATTAAAAAATTGTATGGATATTTATTAGGAATTAAATTAGAAGAAGAACAAGTTAAAGAAACTATGATTGCTTGGGGGAAGAATTTTGGATATGGGATTGATCTAGAGAAATGGCAAAAATTGTGGTCTCAAAATTATAAAATGACAATGTCAACAGCATATAAAGAAAATTTGTATAAGATGTTTTACAGGTGGCATTTCCCCCCGACAAGAATAGCAAGAATGTTCAAGAATAAATCCGAAAAATGTTGGAAATGTCATCAGACACCTGGCTCATATTACCATATGTGGTGGATTTGTGCAGATGCTAAAAAATACTGGACTAAAATCCACACGTGGTTGGAAAAAATGACAAAGAAACATATAGATTTGAAACCAGAGATATTTTTATTGGGAATTTTACCTGAAACATATAGTAAAGACTTGAAATGCCTGATTGTAAATGTATTAACAGCGGCTAGGATTGTATTTGCTAAAAACTGGAAAAATGAGAACATACCATCACAGGAGGAGATCATTAAGAAAATATTGGAATGTGCTGAAATGAGTAGATTGACATTTGAAATTAGAGAACAAGATGATAAACAATTTTATAAAATTTGGGATCTATTCTATCAATGGTTAGACAATAAAATATAGTAATGAAATATGTAGACTTTTAGAAAATAATAAATATATAAAAATGTATTTTGTTTTCTTATTATATCTACAAAATGATTCTAGGATAGATCTGGGATGATAATATGAATTGTTATAAAATTAAGTAAAATATGATCATTTTGGAAAACATGAATGAATAAAAGTATAGTCAAATGATTGATTAATAATGATATCAATGTATTCAATATTTGATTGAAAATACGAGATTATATACAATGTAATTATAATTGAAGACCATGAAATGGAAGCACAAAACAATTTGTAAACCAACCAGCACACTGTATGTACATATATGGAAGATGACTTGATGTTTTTATGTTTTGTTTGTCTATGTTTGTTTTAAAAACCAAGAAAATTAAAAAAAAAAAAGTTCTGAGAAGGCAACAATGTTTTGAAGAAATTGCAGCTCCATGAATTTTTAACAGAGGTAAATATAAGGGGTACATTTAAGCTAAGATAGATGAAGGAGCATTAACATGACAATTACATTTTGTACTTTGCTGGTTAGGTAAGACATTTTTTTTGGAAAGACCTTGATAATTACCACCTTTAAGTTCCAGTTGTGGCATGATTATAACTGAGGACATCTGCCAAAGTATCATTAGAACCCATGAGGTGTATGCTTGAGTTTCCTGTGTCAGAGTGCAAACTAGAACAAACAGCCGTGTCCCTTGTTTGCTTGCATTATACACTCTGTGATATTGTCAGAGGAATTTGAATACTCAAAGTACATTTCTAGGTGATATATAGAAGTGTTTCTCAGATTGATTCCAGCAACCTTCGACATTAAGTCAATTGTAGTGAATTCCATAGGTATTTTGTGAAAAGTTTTAATATAATGACTCTAAAGGAACAAGTTTTATATATTCTGAACAAGCAAAATTTATTCATTGCAGATAGGAACTGACAATTTGAAATTATTAGTAAATCCTGTAACTTAAGAAAAAAAAGAAAGATGGTAAACCTTATTGAAACTCTTTCACTGGATAAATACTTTTCAGTTTATAAAATATTTATTTCCAATTTTAATTTTCTTCAATAACTTTAAAACTAGATTATCATTCTTCTCAAAAACACTGTCATAACTAATGAGGTTTTTTTTCCCGTCCCTTCTGTTTTCCTGTGCTAAAAGTGGAAATATTGCAGTTCACGCCTCAGATAGAACTATTGTCATTGTTGTTTCCAAAAAGATGCCTATCCTCCACTACTAATTCTACTTCTTCAGTAAAAAAAAAAATTCAACCTCAAATAATAAAGCTGTGAAGTTGTCCTCTCCTTCTTTTGAAGCATGAATCTGCCAATTCTCTAGCACTGAAATGGTGACATTCATAACCTATTGCTGCCTGCTTTCTCTCAATAAAGCAGAGATATTTTAGTAAGACATTCAAGACTCTCTCTCTTTGTCAGCCATAATAATAAATAAATATAACTCTACCTGTGCTTCTGATTTCTTCAATTTCAGAGCCTTTAGCTTCATCACAAAAACACAACACAGTTATATAGTCATATATGCGTTCATAGTATTTTGAAATAATTGAGAACTTACTGGAACTGAAAGTAGTGGTTGAATCTTATGAAAGCCAGGAACTGGACACAACAGTTTTGTTGATGGTGCCCTAAAGCAAGAGAGGGAATCATAATTAAGTGAATAACACATAATTACTTATAAGATTTTCCTGATAGTTTGCTAAATTCCAATATTGTAAGTAATGAAATTGCAGAGTCCTAAAAGTAAGGCTGTTTTATAGCATTCTGCAATTTTGTGGAAATGCAGTACAAAACATACATATAGAACTTCATTCATTATGTTAATATAATACCTGGTTTTTCAGCTTAATATGTCATGTGAACTAACTATTGTTTCTTTTACATTATGGTTTAAATGGATTGTGTTATGTTTACTTGACAAACCATATTTTAAAAAACCATTTGCCCTGGATAACTGCAAAAAACAAACTAGATTAGAGCACTTTTTCCTAATATAATCACCCACTGTTTTAAATATATCCAAGTATATTTGCCATTATTGTCTGGAAATAGTGGGAAAATTAATGGAAAATATTGGGGAATGCTCTCACTTATCTCAAAAAGAAAAGAAAAATGTGCTTCTTTAGGGAAGAAAGGCTCCAATGCCCTGATTTGCATGCTGATTTACACAATTAGTTAAAGCACACAATCATCTAATTTGTTTATTACAAAAGGTAGGGTAACTCATATCAATCTCATACCTTTTTCTTGGAGCTGCTTTGTTATTAGATGTTTTAAAAAAGAAATGGTAGCTGTCATAAGGCGTCTTGCTGGGCCTACCGCTCTTTTTGCGGCCACCATTAACAGGGCACGGTGGCTAGGGTTGCTGGAGCAGCTGTCTCAAGGCTGTTACACATGGATGGTAGCTGTGACCATTAGGTAAGGGCGTGTTGGGTGTGTGGGGCAAGTTCCTCCCCCTTTCCCCCCTTCGGCCTTGTCTCCTCACCTCGTGCTGTCTGAACTGCAAGCAATAAGGAGGCCCAGCGACACGTGGGGCGTGTTGCTGGGCCTCCTGCTGCATTTGCGGCTGCAAAAGCGGCCACGCTTGCTGGAGGCAGTGGCCTAAGTGGCACCCATGAAGCAGCTGCTTAGTGGACAATGGAATGGCCTGCTTGACCCTTCGGGAAGCTGATGCAAGGGGTCACTCATCCCCCACCTCCTACTGGTACATTGGGGGGCGGGAATTAAGACACCCCAAAAAAGAAACCCTAGCCATTTTTTCAGGGGTTAAAACAAAATAAGACCCGTCTTATTTTCTTTGGGAAAATACAATACTTACCTTTTATCCTCAACTATACAAAATGATGGAACATCCCATTCTAAAAATGTAGTTCCTTCATATTCTAAATATATCTAAGAAAAAAAGAACATAATGTCCAGTAAAACATATAATTGATATAAAAATATAAAGATCCAAACAATAATTCAGATTTATGCATTTCTATTTACATACTCCTTTAAATCCAATAGAACTCTGGACTCTACCACATGTGAATTCTGAACAGAAAGAGTTACAAATTCCAATTCTACAGACTTTGGTTGGTGTTCAAACATATAGCAAAACTTCCAGTTTTAAATTTATTGTTCATCAAATCTATATGCTTCTCATCTTGCAGCTTACAACATAACAACATATGAAAGTAAAAACAATGATAAAATATTAAAACAGATTAAAATTACAGGAGATTAAAACTAAAAAAATGATGGTTTTAGAGTGGAGAGGTGGCGGCGGCTTCTCTGTTCAGGAACAGGCGCAACTCACACACAATACAAAGTTGCCAAAAGGTTCTCCGAGACACAACTGCCACCTGCTTTTTGAGCAGGAGTCACAAGTCTAGGCGAACCCGCAAGTTGCACACCAGGTCTGTCTGGGATAGTGTCACCCCATCCAGAACTAAAAATGGTAAACCTCCAGATCCTGAGGCTTCATGAATCTACAGTCCACTCCATATTACCAGGGTTCAGTTGAAGCCTGCTGTCTCCCATCTGGGCCCCTACAACTTTTAGGCACTGTGACTGGGCAGTCACAGCATCACTTGAATCATGGGGGAATAGAGATGTAAAGCTGAGTATCATCAACATTGTTATGTTGGGGCCGATTGAAAAGACATGACACACCGGATAGTGACTACAGCTCTTTTATTAGAAGATTGGTAAAAGCAAGTGAATTGTCTTGCGGCAGCTCTCCCTTTTAAAGAGGGCTGTTGGACAACCAATGACAGCTATTCAAACATCCCGACAACAGGTGGACCAATCATTTTAAACTTACTCTTTTCCTACTGGAAAGACGGACTGGAGGGAAACCTTCGCTCCTTGGTTTCCCTCCTCATTAGAATATTCAACAAACATAGTGATGATATCTTATCCAATAGTGTCAAATGATCTCACCCGGCGGCTTCATGTAGATGTTAAAAAGAGGCAGATAAGAGTACCAAGCCGTATGGCATCCCTCAACAGAGTGGCTATGGGCTGGATCTCTCGCTCTCTATTAACCAACTGTGAAAGAAAACCAAACATTGTGCTACCGTCCCAAATCTTGCAGCCAGTCCAAAAGGATTCACTGTCCACAGTATTGTAATGAGGTAACATTAAAACAGGTCACAAATTCTATTTATACCCTGGTCTCTAAATTGTGAAATGAAGGTTTAGCCAAAACACTATTAAACTGACAACTTGATGGATATATTCCAGAAAAAATATATAAAAATATTAATATACTCTCATATATCAGTACAGTAAGCTGCAAATGAATAACAGTTTGGTGTTCTGTAACTGATACTATAGCAGTTATCCCCCAAACAGCCAGTTTGTGCAAATATAAAATTGGAATCTGAATCCAAATTATGTATATGTTGTATTACACTGTAAATATAGTTCAATGAAAGATGGCAAAATAGTTTAGAAAATTTCAAATACTACATACATAATGCAATACAGTTTATTTGAACTCTTCACACAAAAATATATGTTTTAACGAGGCAACCCAGGTAGAACTACTTATCATATATATTTTATATGGATTTTGACAATAAGCACTTACAACAGTTCTTGTAGAAAACATCAAATATTTTCCAGTGTTTGTTCTATACCTGGAAGTAAAATTTTACAAAAAGTTATTCAATAACTGCTAATACTTGCATCTTGCTGTCATTTATATAATGGTTAGTTATGAATTATTCTTATTCATTATTTGGCTGCCTAATTTTCTTAAATTAAAAAAAGACAAATCTATCCATTAATACTGAAGAAAGTGGTATTCCATTCTTTCTAAGCCAGTTCTTTGATCAAATTATTTTTGGATCCTGCTTTTTACACTGTGGAAAATAGTAATTTGTAGTAGTGGTCTTTTTCTCCTCCAGATCTGGGTGTTGACTGTAGGTGGGAAGTACTTTAGGCAACACAGAAAGCCTTTATGAAGGGGCTGCCAAGTTTTTAAATACTGCACAGAAACAAATTATACATGTGATATGTAATAAAGCAACAAAAGATACAACCAGATATCCTTACAATATGTTACATTTCCTTTTCCACTGGGGGTTTGATTTGTTTGTTTGAAGTCCCTGAAAGGCTATTTTTTGCACATCAAAAGCTTTGGTTCAAAGGAAAACATGGTTTCCAAAACTTCAAAGAAGGCATGGATGCCATGTTTAAAGAAAAAGTGGTGTGTGAAGAGAGAGCCTTTTCCTCCTGTGATAAGAAAAAATGGAAATTCTCCAGGCTTTTTATTCACCACACCGGGACAATATAATTTTCTAGTTGGAGTGAAAGCAGTCTTTATTTTTTTTAAAAAAAAATGGGAGGAGTTAATCCGAACCGAGTACCAGTCTTTCAATGCACATTGCAATTTTGACTAGAAAAATACTTTTAACATGTTCCGTGTTTTATTTGTTGTAGAGCAGAGTCACGTTTCTTAGAACACAACGTCGGTTATGGAAGGTTGATGCTAGCCTCATCCCCCACCTCCACACTGCCCCGCAGCCGCTCCACCACAGGCAATTCAGCAGCAAGGGCAGGATCAAAAAGCCAGCCATCAGAGCTGCGCAAGAAACACCCCAGCCCGCTACCAACAACGGCCGCGGCGCGCTCTCCCCCTCGCGGCTCAGGCAGCGCCACAACTCAGCAGCGTTCGGAAGAGATTAACAGCAACTACGTTTCCCGGGAGACCCCGCGGCTCTAAACCGCGGCGTGGTCGTCGACTAGAACCCTGGGAAGTGTAGTCTCTTCCGTCCAGGCGCTCAAAGCGGCACGTTGTTCGGGCTATGCAGATGAGGAGGCAAGTCTTCACATCGGCTCACGCGGGGCTATCGAAGAATGACCAATAGGCGGCGAGCACCGCAGGGATGAGATGCGGCAATGGAGTTAGCTCTGCGTGAAAAGGGCGGGGAAAAAGGCGACTTCAACGGCCGGGATGGGGTCACCTTGAGTCTTTCTGCGGCAAGGGCAGAAAATGAGCGGAGGAGGAATAATGAAAGCGCCTCCTGGGGTGCGGTCTTTCGCGCCCATAATTTTCTATACTAATTGGAGCGCTTTGTATAGGTACGTTTATTAACCTGTCTCGCCCGTACTGTACTTCTGAGCAGCAACCAGTTGATTTATGGGGCTTTCTCCACTGAGGAATTCCAATGCGAGCAACATCTCACTTGCTGCGAAGTGCGGCTGGCATTAAACATGCTGTCTTCCTAGCGTATTCCTATTTTGCCTCTTACTTTTTGCTGTGACCCGCGGTGGGGACTGATTAAGTGGTGACAGTAGTTGATTCTTCTAGCTTTGCTGCCCCTTACTGGGCACATTGCCAACCCCTGGGAAACATTTGCCAGTTTCTGCTGTGGTGTAAAAGGAATGCGGGCAGATCTCCAGATGTTTTCCTGTGCTCCTCTTTCTACTGTTGTCATGGTCGGAGTTAAATAAAATAAAAAATATACTGGAAGAAGGAAAGCAACTTGCTTCTTTCTCCTCTTTTTCTCTTAGATAAATAACAAATGCTAACTTCCAGATTCCTCCCTGCTCTGGCCAAAAGCAGGGGCTGATCCCATTGTTTCAGAGTTAATGCTATTTCAGCTTGTAACAGCATTTCACTACTGCAGTGTACAATCTGTTTCACTATTTCAACTCCTGGCAAGCAGTTTTCTTGTACAGTATGCTTCATGTGCCCCTGTCCTCATCTCCTTAATGGGACAGCAGCAGAACATCATGAAATGAGACTGACTGGGCTAGAGAAGCCTGCATCAGCCTGGAAAAGTCAGTGAAAGCTTCAGTTTCAACCTGGCAACCCATAAAATTTTGAACACCCTACAATTATTGCATGTTGACATTTAAAAGGGGAATATAGTTTGGATGAAATGAAATAATGGTAAGCAAATACGGCAGATTTTACCAGAGCATGCTTATACCATGGTTAGGTGCAAATAGGGAATAGTTTCATGTGATTCTTCCTTCACTTTCTCCCTAGCGTGTCCTCTGTCACTGTGGCCTTTTAAACTACCATGCATGTAACATTTAGTAGGTCCAGAAATGCTGATAAGCCAAGGACATATACTGGGAGATGAATCTAGGCTCTGGGAAACAAGGACAGGATAAGATAAAAGTTAACACTTTAGAAAGAAATGTATGTTCCTAGAACACTGCCCTTTTGTTTTGTCAGAAGTGCCATTGTCTTAGTAACACTTCCCTTTTACTTCATAATTCTACCCTAACTACTTCACTGATCTCAACCCTAACCCTAAACACAGGATGTGCTGCATTTATTTCAGTGTTTCTCAAGCTCTTTAAAATGTGTGGATGCATGCTAGCTGGGGAATTCTGGGAGTTGAAGTCAATACATCTTAAAAGTTGACAGGGTTGAGAAACACTGAAATTCTAATCAAAAGCCTTGCTCCTGTGTCCAATCCCACATATATGAATATAGTGGGAAGGTTTGCTTCCACACTGGGTTTATCTTTTGCCTCTGTACTGAACTGTAGTAAACCAATTGGTGCTTCAATGAAACTGGCCTCCAATCTAAATGAACTGTTTTTCTCTACAATTTGGTGTCAGAGTGTGATGATCGGAAACAAGGAGGCTGAGATTTTGCCTCTGTGGCAACCATCAGGCAGTCTCCCACTGAAGTGCAATATAAATTTGTAAACCCCAATCTCCTTTTGGGAATGTTTTGGGAATGAAGCCAGTCTGAGAATGTCTGAAATCATACAAATGCTTTAAGTGAAGACTTTTTGAAATTTTTATATAGCTTTCAGGGTTTCCCCAATGCAGACCTTTAAGCCCTTTCCCTCCCACTCTCCTGTATTAGTACAGTTTATTCTGGATAGGACTAATGTTACTATCTCAATTACAATTAGCCAGCTAGATCAGATAACCACACCCTTGACCTTTGGTTTAGTTACAGTAATCTTTTCTGGCTTTTAAAATATTAATGTGAGGCCCAACTGTTTCCAGGTTACTTGGCTAGTGGTTATCTTCAAGCAGAGTTCCTGCTGAGCTCCAAGCTGAGCTCAGTGCAAGTTTTTAAGCAAGCTTGCTGTTGCTCACCATGCCCTTGTCCTTTCTGGTAGCTGCTTACATCCTGATAACCCTTGTCACCTTATTGCAGTGATAGCTATTGCTGCTGAAACAAGGGCAATTTTACAATCTTGGAATGCCCTTTATTGAATTGAATACTTTATTTGGCCAAGTGTGATTAGATACACAAGGAATTTGTCTCCGATGCAAAAGTTCTCAGTATACACGCAAAACAGCAGAGTAAGTTATCATCATCATCATAATTTAGCAGCTCAATTCTTACTGGCTCAAGGTTGATTCAGCCTTCCATCCTTCCAAGGTCAGTAAAATGAGGACCCAGATTGTTGGGGGCAATATGCTGACTCTATAAACCAATTACAGTGGGCTGTAAAGCACTGTGAAATGGTATATAAGTCTAAGTGCTATTGCTATCATTAATAATACCAATAGAAGGGGGAAGTAAAGAGGATAATAAGGGTAAATAAAATACCATACCCATATTACATGGGTAAATACACATAGACATTAGCACTTGAGAATTAGGTATTCAGCAGAGAGATGGCACAAGGCAGAAAAACTGTTCCTGTCTGTTTGGCTCCTGTTTTCAAATCAGGATCTCAACCCAAGTGGAATAACGCAGTACAAACTGGCTGAAATATGCAGTTCATCTAGAAAATAGCTTATTTGGAAGACAGGAATGCTGGATGGCATTCAGCTTCTCTGATTCAATCTTCCATTTCCCATTAACATTTCTAGGTAGTTTAATTTTCAGTATTACAGATGACCTTTAGTTAGGTTGATTCTGGGTACATTTTTATGCATTTTGCTGTATATGTTGCCTAAATGTCTTTTGTGTTCTTCCCATTTTGGGCTACAACTACAGTTTAGAATAAGTAGACCTTATACCATTTTGCTTTGCCAGACTCTGTTCTGGGTAAGCTTTTGAAATGTACCAGGAACGCCACAAAGTTTAGAAGAAAATAGTACAGTGTGTAAGCAGAGTGTGTAAAAGTATTGCAAAAGTCCTGAAAATAGGGGAAGGGAGATTCATGGCTGGCTGGGGAATTCTGGGAGTTGAAGCCTACCTGTCTTAAAGATGCAAAGGTTTTAGAATCCCTGTTGTGGAGTCTGAAGGAGAAGCGCTTGCGCATGGGTAAAGCTAAGGCAAATGGGAGAAAGATATACCCACTTCAAACAATGAAGAACAAATGACAGACCACAAACAACAGAAACCTCTTAACTTTTTTTAAATGGGCCCTCAACTACCGTAACCCTAATCACAGTACACAAAATGCACCCAATACTTATACACACAGGAATGAATGGTGGATGCAGGGGTGACCAAAGTCTGCATTCACTTTTTCAAACATTCTTTGATTACTACAAAAATAATTACAAATGTAATATTACATTTATAAAAATATATTCTTATACTACATTATAATTATTAATCATTATTATTAATTTGATTTTGGTGCTGACAATAGAGGTATGCCATTCACTGTCAGAGAGTTCAGTCACTTCCATTTACTACAACCTACTTTTCTCTCTGTCTTATAGCAGGGGTGTCAAACTCGAGGCCCGTGGGCCGGATCCAGCTCGCAAGGTTCTTAGATCTGGCCCACGGGGCTGCCCTGGAAACAGTGGACTGGCCCACGGTACCTCTGCCAGGGAAAATGGAGCTCAGGAAGGTTGTGTGCGGCCTTCCTGAGCTCCATTTTTGCTGGCAGAGGGTTGCAGGAAGCCGTCACAGCTGAAAACAGAGCTCAGGAGCCCGTTTTTCACTGGCAGAGCTCTCAGGCCCCTGACACGAGTGATGTCGAGCTGGCCACGCCCACCATGGTCCTCAAGGTCAAACACAACCCTGATGTGGCCCTCAGTGAAATCGAGTTTGACACCCCTGTCTTACAGTAACACCTTTTGGACCCTCTTTGGAATCTGATAGATGGAATATAACCATCCCATAAGGAAGCATATTCCTTTCCATTCTGCTACACATTTCATCAGCCCTTAGTAATGGTATTTCTTTGGACTGCCTCGAATTGGAGGCTCTATTCTGAAAAGGATCTACTCCTCCTTCTGTGGATGGTTGTAGTTGGTTGGAAAACAGAAGTTAATATCTGCTTATTTATGAATCAGAGATGAAGTGTTTACATCATATGCTGTGGTAAGAGAAGTATCTGGCTAAAGAAAAAGACAAAAAACCACGAAAAATAAAACAATCCTGAAAAGAAATCAGGATTGTTGCAGTGTCCCCAGGTCATGTGATCAACTTTTGTGACCTTCTGATAAGTAAAGTCAATGAGGAAACAAGATTCACTTGACCACTGTACTTAGCAATTGCAATGATTCACTCAATTGTGGCAAAAAAGGTCATAAAATGGGGCAAAACTCGCTTAATTGGGTTGCTTAGCAATGGAAATTTTGGGCTCAATTGTGGTAGTAAGTTGAAGACCACTTGAAATAAAATGTTTATCAGTTTATCTTTCTAGCTCACCATTCATGATTTATATAACTTTTAAACAAGGAAACAATTTGGGTGGTAGGCATTCCTGTGATAAGCAAGGCATAATTTGCCTATAGTATGCATACAGCATATAAGGTGTAATGTGCTCTTACTAAAGTATTTTGAGTACTTTCAGAATTTCTAAAAGCAATCATGAGCAGGAAGTTTTAACAACAAAATGAACAAACAGACTTCAGCAACAAAGTGGTCAATGTCTGGAATACTCTACCTGACTCTGTGGTTTCTTCCCCAAACCCCAAAAATGTTAACCTTAGACTGTCTACTATTGACCTCACCCCTTTCCTGTCTGTAGGGGGCGTGCATAAGCGCACCAACGTGCCTACCGGCCCTGTCCTATTGTTTCCTTTATTTTTCTTATATGTACCCATTTCATGTATTCATAACTATGTATATACTTATACCTATTATCTTGTAAGCAATTGACAAATAAAAATAAAATAAATAAATAAAATAAATAAATAAAAATAGAATGCCTCCATATGACATAAATACTTAAAAGGAGAGGACATGCCATTGATAATCATTAGTGATTTTGTGTGGGCCTTCATGGGTTGACTCTTGGTGACATCTGATGACTGCCTGGACTAGTCCCTGCATCAATAAGCTATATATAAACAGATAAAACTTTCAGGGAAGACCAACTTTACCATAAACAGATAGACATATTTTATCCTTGACTATTAGGGTCAAGAACCTTTCTCAATTTTGTAGAACCAATTCCCCTCATTATTTTTAAAAGAGAAAAATGTAAAGTTAAAATATTTCCTTTGACCTGTGGTAACATTCTGCGGAAGCATGAACCTCATTATCCAAATTCATTTTAGACTCCATTTTTTTCTAAAGGCTTGATGGCTTATGG